TATTTATTAAAGTTTTTAATTTTATTGTAAGAGTATAACTTTTGGCAAACGCTTAACGCATTTAGAGTTTTTCCTGCACCGACGTGACTTGCATCGCCAAAACCTCTCTTCATGTCAATCGTATATCCTTTAAAAATCTTATCACTTGTTCTTTCTTGATGGTCCCAAAGCGTTGTTTTAATTTTTACGTCGGAAACATAATCTATAAAGTTAGTTGGGTTGCAAAGTGACTTTATACAATCCATCATGTGTTGGAATTCTTTTGATGTTTTGTCAATTCTCCATTTCATAGAGTTTGGGCGTCTTTTCATCATAAGTGGATATAGGGTTTCCACCAGGCAAAAAAAACGATATATTGATCCTTCGAATTCATAACTAATGCTGTTGTTCGTTTTTTTGCCCCTTCTGTCACATGGGCCAATGTTTAGGCTAAATACTCCGTTATTTCCATCTGTATCTGAAGTGTATAATCTTGCTAAAACTATCTTCCATAACTTTAGAGTTAGAGGAGTTAGTTTTACATACTGCACCCAATCAAAAACCCGGCTGTCTCCATTTTTTCTTCTGGAATATGCTATATCGGCCATAACGTAGAGTAGATTTTCACCATAAATATCATATTTATAAAGATTGGATTTGCTAACTGAATATGTTCCTATTTTGATAATAGCTATTATCTCTTCAGGAACAATTTTTATTACTTCGCAACTAGGTATTTTTTCAAGAAGTGTGTAAAGATTGAGAATGTCGACGGGTATTGAATCAACATAAAACTGGTTTGATACCGAGTTGTATTGCGTTATCGGGTTTTTTTTCAGTTTCCATGAATATCCTTCCGGAGGATCAGGAAGAATCACTTCTTTTTTAATGCCATTAATGCTTTTTAGGTATTCTTCTTGAATAAGCCATCTATCGTCATCCTCAACGTACTCAGATACTCCTTTGATAGTTTTCTTAACTTTTAATATATTGTCTTTAGTTGTTCCTCCTAAAAATACATCATACACACGATTTTTGTAACAGAATTTATGCCTTATCCCAAATAACGACATCCATCCAATTCTTCCGATTCTTTTAATTATTTTTTCGTCGTCTTTTATATTGTCTATTTTAATACATTTATTTTTATTTTTATTTTTATTTTTATTTTTATTTTGCACAAAACCGACTATTTGTGGTTTTTCCCCATTAATAATATATTCCTGTAATCTTCCGACACAGTTATAAACATCGTCGTCAAAAATTCTGTTGTTTTTTATTTTGTGGTGTTTTTGTGTTAAATCCCTAATATTACACCCGCTAAAGTTGTTCCAAATATAGTCTGATAACATTTCTAATGTGGGAGGTGATTCCGTTCCAGAACATATTTTTTTGCTTTTACAAAGATTAATCATGCCTTGTAATTCAATTAACATTGTTGGCTTACAATGCATATCCATTCCGGCAGTTCTAGTCTCAAACTGTTCGTTTTTATCCCGGTCGTCAATATTTATATTTGGGCACGGGAATAAGATCCTGATATCCGCAATGTTTCTTATTGAGTTGTTATTTATGTCTAATGCGTAAGAATAAACCTTTTCCAACATTGTGCGGTCATTATGCATCATTGGCATGTTATTTATCGCTAATACAATTGAATCCCTAATTTGGCTAAAATTATTTGAATTATTTTTAGCCAAGACCAAGTTTTCAATTAGAGGTATTTTTGACAAATCACATCGTTTGTATTTATATTTATTTTTATATTTATGCCAATCCCAAAGCTCTAAATAAGCCTGTATTGTTTTAATTGTCGACACGATTATATTGAGTGCGTGATCCGACAGTTTGATGTTTGGGTCTTTGTGAAAAACAATCGACAATAAAACAAGAGATCTCATGTCTATTGAATTATCAGACTTATTTGATTCATTTAAATCATATAACTCATTTGGTTCATTGGTTGTAAATCCTTTAACATCCTCGATTATTGAAATATATGTTCTCCATACTAATTGCCTTGAACCACTGACCGTTGCGAAATTATGTTCGGGAAGATTGTATGTTGGCGAATTGTTTAATTTATTGCAAGTTTCTTCTAACAAAGATCCATTATTGGGACCTCTTCTTACACACTTCTGTAAAAGGGAACTTAGATAGCCGACCGATTCTGTTTTTTTTCTGTTAGTCATTCTGTCTATTATTTTTTCATCAATACTTAGAAAATAATTTATGTTGTCGGACGATGAGAGTTTAATTATGTCGTATTTTTCAAAAACATGGTTGTCAAATTTAATAACAGACCATATTGAACTAATTGTGTTTGTTTTATTATTTAGAATTACACTTATTAAAACATCGCCTTTTTTTATTATGTCACCTTTTTTCCATAAGGTGTTTCTTTTAATAGAATTTGAATAAATACAACAATAACATACAGGAGGCTTTCCTTTTCTAGATGGAAGTTTATCCATTGCCCTATGAAGTTCGTCACCAGAGTCAAAACATCTGTTTAACCAATCTGCTGGAACAACAGGCTCTTTGGTTTTTGTATTTGTGCCAATATCAACAATTTTTATTTTTCCTCTTATCGGATCATTGCACTCGGTCTTAACGTACTCAATCAGTTTTGCTTTAATTAAAGGGTCGGTTGGTGTAAAACTTTTTAACGAGTCGGCAAACAAAGTTTTTATTTTATTTGCTTTTAACCATTCATCAATAACAAAATACAAAACGTCATCCCCGTGTAACATGTGTTGGTCATAAATGCTTAATGTAATTGAAGCCTTGACCAAGTCTTTATTTTTAATGGCTTCTAAAGCTTTTTTGACATGATGATTTGTAATAATTGGGGAAATATCTTCTTGGGCTTCAACACAAAATCCATGATACTCCCCATTTCTTTTAACATAAGTTTTCTCAAATTTTTTTAATCCTTTGTTTGACACAATATTATACGGTTCACCGTTGTCGTCAACCAAATAGACGTATTTTGATTTACATGAATTTAGTAATTTTAGAACTTCTGAAAAACTCATTATTACAATTATTTTACAATGCCTATTTTTAATAACATAATTATTCGCATATTATATTATTAAATCAATTTTTATAATAAAATCTATTAAATGGCCTGTTTATTTTATTAGCATATGTGGTGTTTTTTATTAACATTCAAAAATATGTTAAAATATTATATCAATAAAAACAAATTTTATCAAACGTCGGTAATAAATACTGTAAAATAATTTTACCAACGTTAAAATAAAAAATGCCAAAATATTACATCAACAACAAAAACAAATTTTATCAGCATCGATAATAAATACTGTAAAACAATTTTGTAAATAAGAGAATCGAGGCAGTATTAGTTATATTGTCAGTATACGTTATTTTTTATTTAGTATTTTTTATTTAGTTTGCCTAATTTGAAACGACTTTTTGTGATTGGGTGATTTTATTTTTGTCATTTTAACACAAGTTTTTTAAAAGAAATAATGTTAAAAAGTACACATAGATATTAAGTCAACCTAATTTGCCAAAAAAATACAAAAAGAACACACGACGAACAAATGCCAAAAACAACGTAAATAATAAATAAAAAAAGCACCGGTAGGGTAGGTAGATACAATTAAATCAAAATTTTAAATAAAAAAACTGTCTTCATTAATAACAAAATATGTCAAAAAAACAAAACCTGTCAATATATTCCACCAGTGTCAATAAAAAACTGTCTTCATTAATAACAAAATATGCCAATAAACAAAATCCGTCAATAAAATATGTTGGTGACTAGTCTTCCAACTCCTGTTTTTACATATCTCAATGCACATCTAATTTGCCGAACTGCCAATTCGCATATTTCATCTGTTTGTTTTTTTACAAATTCTAACGCCCTACCATTTTGTTGAACTGCTAATTCGCATAATTCTTTGGTCTGTTCTTTTACAAATTCTAACGCCCAACCATTTTGTTGAACTGCTAATTCGCATAATTCTTTGGTCTGTTCTTTTACAAATTCTAACGCCCGGCCATTTTGTTGAACTGCCAATTTGCATAGTTCTTCGGTTTGTTCTTTTACAAATTGCAAAGCCCTGCCATTTTGTCGAACCGCTAATTTGCATATTTCTTCTGTTTGTTCTTTTACATATTGCAAAGCCCGACCATCTTGTTGAACTGCCAATTCGCATAATTCTTTAGTTTGCTCTTTTACAAATTTCAACACCAGACCATCTTGCTGAACTGCCAATTTACATATTTCTTCTGTTTGCTCTTTTACAAATCGTAACGCCCGGACATCTTGTTGAACGGCTAATTCGCATAGTTCTTCAGTTTGTTCTTTTATAAATTGTAAAGCTGGACCATAATTTCTAACAATGTCGATCCAAAATTGTTGTGGCAAATTTTCAATTTCGATGATACTTTTAAGTGTAATTCGATCAGCCTTAAATTTGCGGTCTTCAATGTAAACTTGGGCGTCATCGGGTATTTCAATTATCGCAACAAAATTACCATATTCATTTAGATAGTGATGACAGTCATATTCTGCACAAAAATAAAGACCTCCTGCGGAACACTGACCATTTGGGTTAAATGTGACAGTATCGACATTAAGGCCGAGTTTGTAGGTAAAACCATTGTGAGTTAAATCATTATTAAGAAATTTATAAAGAGGTGTTCCTTCAAATACACGATTAAATTCAGCTCCTGATAATTTTGTACCTTTTAAATTAGATTTACAAAGCATAATTTTAGTCTTTCGGGTATCAGTGTGTTGTTAGATAATAAAAGTATGCGGTTAAATATTTTTAATTTCATTATTTTGGGGCGGCAAGTAGTTATGACAAAATCCGTCAATATTGTGTCAATAAAAAACTGTCTTCATTAATAACAAAATCCGTCAATAACGTTGATAAATTATGTTGGCGACTAGTCTTTTTACCCTGTTTTTACACATCTCAATACACATCCATTTTGTCGAACTTCTAACTCATATATTTTTGGTTCAGTCCTTTACATATTTACATATTTCGATGCACAACCATTTTGTTTAACTGCCAATTCGCATATTTCGATGCACAACCATTTTGTTTAACTGCCAATTCGCATATCTCTTTAGTTTTATCTTTCACATATTTTAGAGCTAAACCATTTTGTTTAACCGCTAATTCGCATAGTTCTTCAGTTTGTTTTTTTACAAATTCCAACGCCCAACCATTTTGTTGAACTGCTAATTCGCATAATTCTTTAGTCTGTTCTTTTACAAATTCTAACGCCCTACCATTTTGTTTAACCGCTAATTCGCATAGTTTTTTGGTCTGTTCTTTTACAAATCGCAAAGCCCAACCATTTTGTTGAACTGCTAATTCGCATAGTTCTTCAGTTTGTTTTTTTACAAATTTCAACGCAAAACCGTCTTGATGAACTGCTATTTTGCATAGTTCTTCGGTTTGTTCTTTTACAAATTCTAACGCCCAACCATATCGTTGAACTGCTAATTCGCATAATTCTTTAGTCTGTTCTTTTACAATTTCTAACGCCCGGACATCTTGTTGAACTGCCATTTTGCATAATTTTTCAGTCTGTTCTTTTACATATTGTAACGCTAGGCCTTCTTGCCGAACTGCTAATTCGCATAATTCTTTAGTCTGTTCTTTTACAAATTCTAACGCAAAACCGTCTTGCCGAACTGCCAATTTGCATAGTTCTTCGGTTTGTTCTTTTACAAATTCTAAAGCCCGACCATCTCGTCGAACTGCTAATTCGCATAATTCTTCAGTCTGTTCTTTTACATATTGCAAAGCCCGACCATTTCGTCGAACTGCTAATTCGCATAATTCTTCAGTCTGTTCTTTTACAAATTCTAACGCAAAACCATTTCGTTGAACTGCGAATTCGCATAATTCTTTAGTTTGTTCTTTTATAAATTGTAATGCCATACAATAATTTTGATTAATGTCAATCCAAAATTGTTCTGGCAAATTTTTAATTTCAATGATACTTTTAAGTACAATTCGATCAGCCTTAAATTTGCGGTCTTCAATGTAAACTTGGGCGTCATCAGGTATTTCGACTATTGCAACAAAATCGCCATATCTATTTAGATGGTGACAACAATCATATTCTGCACAAAAATAAAGACCTCCTGCGGAACACTCATCTTTTGGGTTAAATGTAATAGTATCGACATTAAGGCCGAGTTTGTAGGTAAAACCTTTGTGAGTTAAATCATTGTTAAGAAATTTATACAATTTTACCTTAACGATGTTGTTAAATTCACTTCCCGATAATTTTGTACCTATTAATTCGGATTTACAAAGCATAATTTTAGTCTTTCGGATATCAGTGTGTTGTTAGATAATAAAAAATAATAAAAATATGTGGTCAAATATTTTTATTTTCATTTTTTTGAGGCGACTTGTAGTTATGACAAAATCCGTCAAAATGCTGTGTCAATAAAAAAACTGTCTTCATTAATAACAAAATATGTCAATAAACAAAACCTGCCAATAAAAAACTGTCTTCATTAATAACAAAACCCGTCAATAACGTCGATAAATTATGTTGGTGACTAGTCTTTTTACCCTGTTTTTACACATCCATTTTGTCGAACTTCTAACTCATATATTTTATTGGTTCAGTCCTTTACATATTTACATATTCCGATGCACAACCATTTTGTTTAACTGCCAATTCGCATAATTCTTTAGTCTGTTCTTTTACAAATTGCAAAGCCCTGCCATCTTGCCGAACTGCCAATTCGCATAATTCTTTAGTTTGTTTTTTTACAAATTGCAAAGCCCAACCATCTTGCCGAACTGCTAATTCGCATAATTCTTCTGTTTGCTTTTTTACAAATTGCAAAGCCCTACCATATCGTTGAACTGCTAATTCGCATAATTCTTTAGTCTGTTCTTTTACAAATTCTAACACCCTACCGTCTTGCTGAACTGCCAATTTGCATAATTCTTTAGTCTGTTCTTTTACAAATTCTAACGCCCAACCATTTTGTTGAACCGCTAATTTACATATTTCTTCGGTCTGTTCATTTGCATATTCTAACACCAGGCCATCTTCATGAACGGCTAATTTGCATATTTCTTCTGTTTGTTCTTTTACAAATTGCAAAGCCCAACCATTTTGTTGAACTGCCAATTCGCATATTTCTTTAGTCTGTTCTTTTACAAATTCTAACGCCCAACCATTTTGTTGAACCGCTAATTTACATATTTCTTCGGTCTGTTCATTTGCATATTCTAACACCAGGCCATCTTCATGAACGGCTAATTTGCATATTTCTTCTGTTTGTTCTTTTACAAATTCTAACGCACTACCATTTTGTTGAACTGCCAATTCGCATAATTCTTTAGTCTGTTCTTTTACAAATTGCAAAACCCTACCGTCTTGCTGAACTGCCAATTCGCATAATTCTTTAGTCTGTTCTTTTACAAATTGCAAAGCCCAACCATCTTGCCGAACTGCTAATTTGCATATTTCTTCTGTTTGCTCTTTTACAAATTCTAACGCCCAACCATCTTGTTGAACAGCTATTTTACATATTTCTTCTGTTTGTTCTTTTATAAATTGTAAAGCTAGACCATAATTTCTAACAATGTCGATCCAAAATTGTTCTGGCAAATTTTTAATTTCAGTGATACTTTTAAGTACAATTCGATCAGCCTTAAATTTGCAGTCTTCAATGTAAACTTGGGCGTCGTCGGGTATTTCGACTATTGCAACAAAATCGCCATATCCATTTATATGGTGATAACAATCATATTCTGCACAAAAATAAAGACCTCCTGCAGAACACTCACCTTTTGGGTTAAATGTAACAGTATCGACATTAAGGCCGAGTTTGTAGGTAAAACCTTTGTGAGTTAAATTATTGTTAAGAAATTTGTAAAGAGGTGTTCCTTCAATTACACGATTAAACTCAACTCCCGATAATTTTGTACCTTTTAAATTAAATTTACAAAGCATAATTTTAGTCTTTCGGATATCAGTGTGTTGTTAGATAATAAAAAATAATAAAAATATGCGGTCAAATATTTTTATTTTCATTTTTTTGAGGCGACTAGTCTTTTTACCCTGTTTTTACACATCTCAATACACATCCATTTTGTCGAACTTCTAACTCATATATTTTATATTTTATTGGTTCAGTCCTTTACATATTCCGATGCACAACCATTTTGTTTAACTGCCAATTTACATATTTCTTATGTTTGCTCTTTTACAAATTGCAACGCCCGGATAATATGTTGAACGGCTAATTGCAACGCCCGGACATTATGTTGAACGGCTAATTTGCATAATTCTTCTGTTTGTTCTTTTACAAAGAACAACGCCCAACCATTTTGTTGAACTGCTAATTCGCATAATTCTTTGGTCTGTTCTTTTACAAATTCTAACGCAAAACCGTCTTGATGAACTGCTATTTTGCATAGTTCTTCGGTTTGTTCTTTTACAAATTCTAACGCCCTACCATTTTGTTGAACTGCTAATTCGCATAATTCTTTAGTTTGCTCTTTTACAAATTCTAACGCCCAACCATTTTGTTGAACCGCTAATTTACATATTTCTTCGGTCTGTTCTTTTGCATATTTTAACGCCCTGCCATTTTGTCGAACCGCTAATTCGCATAATTCTTTAGTCTGTTCTTTTACAAATTTCAACGCCAGACCATCTCGTCGAACTGCTAATTTGCATATTTCTTCTGTTTGTTCTTTTACAACTTCTAATGCCCGACCATTTTGTTGAACGGCTAATTTGCATATTTCTTCTGTTTGTTCTTTTACAAATCGCAAAGCCCAACAATTTTGTTGAACTGCTAATTCGCATAATTCTTTAGTCTGTTCTTTTACAAATTTTAATACCCTACCGTCTTGCTGAACTGCCAATTTGCATAGTTCTTCAGTTTGTTCTTTTACAAATTTTAACACCTTACCGTCTTGCTGAACTGCCAATTTGCATAGTTCTTCAGTTTGTTCTTTTACAAATTGCAAAGCCCTGCCATTTTGTCGAACCGCTAATTTGCATATTTCTTCTGTTTGTTCTTTTATAAATTGTAAATCTAGACCATAATTTCTAACAATGTCGATCCAAAATTGTTCTGGCAAATTTTTAATTTCAATGATACTTTTAAGTACAATTCGATCAGCCTTAAATTTGCGGTCTTCAATGTAAACTTGGGCGTCGTCGGGTATTTCGACTATTGCAACAAAATCGCCATATCCATTTAGATGGTGATGACAGTCATATTTTGCACAAAAAGAAAGACCTCCTGCAGAACACTGACCACTTGGGTTAAATGTGACAGTATCGACATTAAGGCCGAGTTTGTAGGTAAAACCACTGTGAGTTAAATCATTGTTAAGAAATTTATAAAGAGGTGTTCCTTCAAATACAAGATTAAATTCAGCTCCTGATAATTTTGTACCTTTTAAATTAAATTTACAAAGCATAATTTTAGTCTTTCGGATATCAGTGTGTTGTTAGATAATAAAAAATAATAAAAAATAATAAAAATATGCGGTCAAATATTTTTATTTTCATTTTTTTGAGGCGACTAGTAGTTATGACAAAATCCGTCAATATATTGTGTCAATAAAAAACTGTCTTCATTAATAACAAAATATGTCAATAAACAAAACCTGTCAATAAAAAACTGTCTTCAATAATAACAAAATCCGTCAATAACGTTGATAAATTATGTTGGTGACTAGTCTTTTTACCCTGTTTTTACACATCCATTTTGTCGAACTTCTAACTCATATATTTTATTGGTTCAGTCCTTTACATATTTACATATTCTGATGCACAACCATTTTGTTTAACTGCCAATTCGCATATCTCTTTAGTTTTATCTTTCACATATTTTAGAGCTAAACCATTTTGTTTAACCGCTAATTCGCATAGTTCTTCAGTTTGTTTTTTTACAAATTGCAAAGCCCAACCATCTTGCCGAACTGCTAATTTGCATAATTCTTCAGTCTGTTCTTTTACAAATTGCAAAGCCCAACCATCTTGCCGAACTGCTAATTCGCATAATTCTTTAGTCTGTTCTTTTACAATTTTTAAAGCCCTGCCATTTTGTTGAACTGCCAATTTACATATTTCTTCTGTTTGCTCTTTTACAAATTGCAAAGCCCAATCATTTTGTTTAACCGCTAATTTGCATAATTCTTCGGTTTGTTCTTTTACAAATTCTAACGCCCAACCATTTTGTTGAACTGCCAATTCGCATAATTCTTTAGTCTGTTCTTTTACAAATTTTAACGCCCTGCCATATCGTTGAACTGCTAATTCGCATAATTCTTTAGTCTGTTCTTTTACAAATTCTAACGCCCAACCATCTCGTCGAACTGCCAATTTGCATAGTTCTTCGGTTTGTTTTTTTACAAATTCTAACGCCCTACCGTCTTGCTGAACTGCCAATTTGCATAGTTCTTCGGTTTGTTCTTTTACAAATTCTAAAGCCCGACCATCTCGTCGAACTGCTAATTCGCATAATTCTTCAGTCTGTTCTTTTACATATTGCAAAGCCCGACCATTTCGTCGAACTGCTAATTCGCATAATTCTTCAGTCTGTTCTTTTACAAATTCTAACGCAAAACCATTTCGTTGAACTGCGAATTCGCATAATTCTTTAGTTTGTTCTTTTATAAATTGTAATGCCATACAATAATTTTGAATAATGTCAATCCAAAATTGTTCTGGCAAATTTTTAATTTCAGTGATACTTTTAAGTACAATTCGATCAGCCTTAAATTTGCGGTCTTCAATGTAAACTTGGGCGTCGTCGGGTATTTCGACTATTGCAACAAAATCGCCATATCCATTTATATGGTGATAACAATCATATTCTGCACAAAAATAAAGACCTCCTGCGGAACACTCATCTTTTGGGTTAAATGTAATAGTATCGACATTAAGGCCGAGTTTGTAGGTAAAACCATTGTGAGTTAAATCATTGTTAAGAAATTTATAAAGAGGTGTTCCTTCAAATACACGATTAAATTCAGCTCCCGATAATTTTGTACCTTTTAAATTATATTTACAAAGCATAATTTTAGTCTTTCGGATATCAGTGTTGTTAGATAATAAAAGTATGCGGTTAAATATTTTTAATTTCATTATTTTGGGGCGGCAAGTAGTTATGACAAAATCCGTCAAAATGCTATGTCAATAAAAAAACTGTCTTCATTAATAACAAAATATGTCAATAAACAAAACCTGTCAATATATTCCACCAGTGTCAATAAAAAACTGTCTTCATTAATAACAAAATCCGTTAAAATGCTGTGTCAATAAATTATGT